GCTCTTATGCACCTTGAGTTGAGTGATTCCAACTATGTGCATTGTCCATCTAGAGATGAATGGGATAAACTTGAAAAAATCAACAAGTTCTTGGCCGTATTTTATGATATCACATGTGTCTTCTCTGGAACCAAATATCCAACTGCTAATCTGTACTTTCCTTTAGTATTTACAGCATATTTAACTTTAAATGATGGGCTGAATAGTGAGGATCTTTACATTAGTAGTTTGGCAGCCAACATGTTCACTAAATTTCAGAAGTATTGGACTGATTTTAGTATGATTTTGGCTATAGATGTCATTTTGGATCCTAGATATAAGATGCATTTCGTTGAATGGTGTTATACAAAGCTATATGGTTGCGATGGGATCAAAGAAGCGACAAAGGTCAAGAAAAATTTGTTTTCTCTATTTAATGAATATGCACAAGGTGGATCTAAAAGCTTATCTTCAAGTGGTTCAACGGGAGCTTCATCAAGCAATGCAAGAGATGGTGGGACCAAAGCACCCCATGAAACTTCATATTCTTCTATAACTAACAATGTCTTGAGTGTAAGTTTGTTTACTTACTGTAGTCTTAAATTTGTTGTCATTCTATTAATTAGCATCTATTGATTTATTTATTTAAATATTAATATATGTGTTGAATATGTTGTTAGGAATTTGACTCCTTTAATGAAGTGATTGTCTGCCCAAAGACACAACTTGAACTTTATTTAGAGGACCCAAGGATTGATAGGAATTCTGATTTGGATGTAATGTCATATTGGAGGGCTAATCAATATAGGTATCCAGAGGTTGCAACAATGGCTATGGATGTATTAGGAATACCTATTTCTAGTGTTGCTTCAGAAAATGCTTTTAGTGTTGGGGGAAGAGTGCTTGACCAATATAGAAGTACACTCAAATCTAACATAGTGGAAGCTGTAGTGTGCACAAGAGATTGGCTATATGGTGATCAAGGTATTTTTATACATTATTTGTTCAATTTGTTGTATATTCAATTATGTAATTATTATTGAATGATTTACCAAACTTTTGTGTTACTATTTAATTCACTTTTTTTTATGCTAGAGCATGCAACTTTCTTGGAGGACTTAACAAAAAATGTCATGGAGGAGATGGCCACAGAATCAAACAGAAATTCAGCTCCTTGTGAAACTAATAGTTTCTCAATAGCTCAATAGTGGTAGTAGAATGTACTTATTTGTCTTTGCATTTTTGTAAGTTATTTGCAACTTTTGATTACCTATGTGTTGCCTTTGGAACAATATTAGTTTTTTTCAATTCTGGTTGTGATGATTTCTTTGGAGAATTGGATGACGTTGCCTTGGAAATGTGAATATATTCACTTTTGTGATGTTGGAGATCTATATTTTCCTGCTAGCACAGCTTGATGAAATATAATGCCCAGGAATGTGATTAATTGATGTGTTAGTGTTGTGTTGCCTTGTAAATTTGCATTTATGGATGTAATTGTGCTTTTTGTGTCGTGTTCGTGTCGTGTCAACCCGTACAAAAGGTGATTCGTGTTGTTCAAAAAATTTACAAATTTTAATTTGCGTGTTATCCGTGTCGTGTCGTGTCAACCCGCAAATTTTACAGGTTGTGTTCGTGTTTAAAATTTTGACACGAATAAAAATTCGTGTCGTGTTAGTGTTGACCTATTCGTGTCATGTCAACACGAATTGACACCCCTACATGTGATCTTATGTTAGTTTAAGTGGGGTGGATCCCACATACCACCTCACACAATTCAAATTAATTCAAATCATCCACTTAACCCACTAATCTCCAATTAGTTCATGAACTATACATTAAATCAAAATTTTAACATTCACAAAAGTCCTTTAATTACCCTTGAGCAGATGAATCTGGAGTTTTTCGATAATTTGGTGAAATTACTATTTTACCCCTAATTGTGCACCGTCGCCCGCCGACACATTTTTTTCAAAATTCCTAAAATCCATCAAATTGTGCCAATAGTCATATTTCTTGGTTCTAAGTATATTTTCCAACATATATTCAATCCTAGAGCACTAATCTTACTTTGCATATTTTTACGTGCAAGGGCACCTTACCACATTATTTCATCCGATAAAAATACTACTCATCTATTTTTCAGAAACTTGCTTAATCACTCAATTTTTCGTTCTGAATCCATTTTCAATATTATTTTCATAATTTGAGGCGTAATTCTATCATTTTACAATTTAAGGTTACGTATTTGTTGATTTACTGTTTTACCTTTCGTATGTATTTTCACCCAAAGCTTAGAATTTTCACTAAATACACTCTATAATCCTCAATTTAATTATTAATATGTATTTCAATTAAACTAGGTATTATATATAAAAAAATTAAAAAGTGCATATAAATATTGTGTTGAAAAATAATACAAAATCAAATTGCTTAACATATTAAAATAAATATAATCACATACTCACGCACGCAATATATATACACAGACACACATAGGCACATATATGCACACGTACACACTAAATTTTTTCAAATAAAAGCTTTGTTTAAATATTTTAATCATATGTTTTTGTTAATTTATTAATTTAAATATGTATTAAATATTTAATTATTTCATAAAAACTTAATTTGATAAATATTAAATTTGAATAATTCACGTGCATCTATAACCTTACGAGTTCTCTGTTAAAAAAATTGAATGGTTAGACGAAATAAAAATGGGTTTTATAATTCTCATGTTGAAGGAGAATTAAAATCTCATGTTGTAGAGATAAAAAGTATGTGAGACCCATGTGTTAGAAAAAATTATATGTAGGACCCATGTCAGCACGGAAATCGAAGGGTGTGTAGAAAAATTGTAATTCTCAGGTTAAATGAGAATTATAAAACCCAATAAAAATACTCGTTTCATTTGATCTAAAAAATAATCATGGGAAACAACAAAATAAAAGATGAGACAAATGAAAAAAATTTAAAACTTCCGCAACGCCACTCAAAAGTCAAAAATACCAACAATTTCTTTCTTTTCTTGATATTTCTTCCTCGAGGACTGTTCTCTTTCTCAATCATCTTCCTTTTAACATTTTTTCTCTTAATCTTCTTGATTCTCATTAAGATAAACACAAACTACTCGTGTTGTGCGACGGAATCAGAAAAAAAATTTATCCGGTGCCAAAAGACCCACCGAGTAAAATTCAATTAATATTAAAATTGTATTATTTTTAAAAATTTAACTAATATTAACGTTGTACCATAATTTTTGAAGAAAATTTATATCATTTTTAAAATCTAACTGGTGCCAAGACACTAGCTGATATACAAGTTGCTCCGCACCTGGTGTTGTGCATTTATCACCAAATAATAAGGAAAATAATAAAGACAAGTAATTGAATTATATGATAAAATTTCGTGTTGCAAATGATTATAAACTTTATAATATCTTTTAATAAAATAGAATAAAAATTTAAAAAATCTTTGTGCTATGCGTACAATAAAATTGTGATAAATCAAGAGGTAGGAGTCATCAGTTTATTTTTTTTTTCTATTTTTGGATACATTTTTTAATTGGGTAACGAAAATTGAAAAATTTATTTTGTTTCCTAGTTCTCTCTCACACACATTTATTATTATATTTTTCCCCTCAATCTATTTTATTTAGGCTTATCGAATAAGATGTCATGTTAATGTAGTATTTCTTAAATGGCTTTTATGTAATATTCTATACTATGTTATCCACTAAAAAACATATATTTCATGGGAAATATATTTTGTTTCATGAAACATATAAAAAATGGATGTACCCCACTTTTCCTCCCTTTTTTTCTTAATAGGTTCCTTTCACTTTTTTTGTGTTTCATAAGATAAATTGTCTCATGAAATATGAGAAATATATTCTTCATATTTTACGCTATAGTAATAATCTAACATCTAGAAAAATAATAATTATTTTGTATCTTTTTCCTTATTTTCAAAAGTAAATAAATTGCACATTAAATGTGCATCACATGCCATCTTAATTACATTTTAATTCAGTTATTCACACCACTTGTTGTTTCTTTGCAGCGTTAGCAAATAGGTTGATCAATTGTTGAAGGTTGTTCTAGTTTAATAAGTGATTTTGAATTCGAGTGCACCATGTTGATCAACTAATGCGAGGTAGTGGTTTTGAATTTGAGTCCAAACACATTAAGCAACTATTAAAGAGTTGTTCTCACTTAACCAATAGTTTCAAATTCGATTCCACCAAAAATTAGTAATAGGTAAGTGGTTGTATTGATAAGTGATTGTTTCATTTTAACAAGTGATAAAGGAAAAGCTTTATTGCCTATGTATTCCATCGAACTAGGAAAAGCTTTATTGCCTATGTATTCCATCGAACTAGAATGAGACTCATTGAGAATGGATTTTTTCATGTATTATTAATATGATCATGTCATCATTTTGAGAAAATTATAATCATATAAAGATGAATTAATAATAGAGAAAAGTTCACCAAATGTTCCTGTGGTTTTCTGCAGAATTACCTATGTCCCTGTGATTTTTTTTTTCTATCACATATGTCTCTGTGATTTGTAAAAGAATATGTTTTTATCACATATGCCCCTGTGTTTTTTTATTTTTTACAAAGCACATGGACATATGTGATAAAAAAAACCACAAGGGTAGAAACAAATCACAGGGACATTGGTAAACTTTTTCCTTAATAATAATAAAAGAAGAAAGACAAAAAAAATATTGAAATAAATAATTATAAAATTAATGATCATTAATTTATATTTATATAGTTAAACTCCCCCACATAGCATAATTATATTAAATAAAGCATGAGATCATGCATTTCCGAGACTAATCTAGTAATCCATACATAATAATAATAATAATAATAAAAAAAGCAAGAGAGAGAGACAGAGTGTGTGGGTGTTTTTCTAGAACATTGTTCAAGCTCTGGCACATAGCGCGTCAGCACCTGCTAGTATCCCTTACCCTTGAGTCTGATGAGATCATGAGAGTGAGTAAGAGATAGATAGAAGAAGGGAAGTTAAAATGTAACGTAAATTAAATCAAATCCTGAGAAAAAAAACGCCCCAAAAAACGAAAAAAAAAAAAAAAAAATGGGGTATGAAAAACACTAAAACAACAACAACACGATGATGGAGCTTCCTCGTCCCTCTCAAACAACGTTAACAAAACCTCGTAACGTTGTTTTGTTTCAGTGTGTTGTTGTCGTGGCTCAACAATTTTCTTCTGCAACCTCCTTAATTTCCTCCTTAGCCTCGCTATCACCCCACCGCTTCTTTTGCTTTTGTTTTTGTCTCTGTTTGAGGCAATTCCTGAAATCCGTGTCCGTTTCTCCATTTGCCTTAATTTGCATATATAACTCTTATGCTTCTTGTTCTATTATTGTGCCTCTGATGCTCTCTCTTCTGAATCACAACCTTGTGCTTTTCCAATTTCCTCTTCAGGGTTTGTTTCCTCTTTTGCTTCTGGGAAATGGGTAGTTGGAGAAAACAGCATGGTGAGGGTCATCGTCAAATGGGTCATTGGAGTGGATCATCATCATCATTGTCAAATAACAGGAAACCACCTTTGGGTAAATGTATGACAGATTTTTTTTTTTCTCTTATTAGTTTTAATTTTTTTTATAATTGATGATCATGGTCACTTTGAATGTGCTCAATTGGGGTTTGGGTTTAAGAGAGAGAATACTTTTTTTCTTTTTAATTTTTTTTTTCAAAATTTTTTTTGGGTTTAAATGTCGGGTTTTGAATGAGCCATTATGTTTGGTTTGGAAATGTTACTTTTCTGTGACATAGGATGAATTCCTGATTTTGTCTTAGTCATGGTTTTCTTTGGACTAACTTTAATTAGATATGTATCTACGTGTGTGTGTTGATTTTGGTTTGATGATGCCATAATGAAAGCCCTGCCTCTTCTGTGGGAAGAGGTTTAGAGCTTTGATTATTCAAGCTACTTGGGTGTTGTTCAAGTGGTAAGGGTAGGGAGGGGTTATTATGATACAGGGCATGGATTCCACTTCCTTGTAAACAAAAGGAAGAGTGAGCTTGAATAATGATGGGAGGGCTTTGAGGTGCTGAATTGGTCTCATTTCTTTTGTTGGTAAGGTTGGTAGGTTGAAATATTGATGCTTTGCATGTCCCCATCAGTTTGAGTGGTCCCGATGTTATTGATTTATCGAATTGACAAACCTTATAATCAAACTAAATTTCTCTTTTTGGTCTAGCTTTTGTAGTTGTAGCAATTTTGATTTGTTTTGTGTTTTGACCTGAAACTGTGTTGAGTTTGGCAATTTTCGAGTTAGTATCTAACATTTTATGTCATTGAATTGGAATAAAAGAGTTCAAAGATAACTAAATTTCCATTTTAGTTAATCTTTGTACTTTCGGCTTTGTCGTGATTTGGTGTTTGTCGTGTTTTGAACTATAACGGTCGTATCTATTAATCGAATCTTTTGGAGAAACATTGAAATAATTCGGTGTTTGTCGTGTTTTGTACTAAAACGGTCTTGGTATCTATTAATCAAATCTTCTAGAGACACGTTGAGATAATTTCCTACGTCATTCAGACATTGAAACTAGGAAGCTTAATGATTGATCAGTTGTACATTCTGCTCTTTAAAATGTTATTTGTGTCGTCTTTTGAATCAACGCTACCTAGGTTTTGGCTGTTCATAAGTAGTTATTGGTGACATGTTTATATGTAACAAACTTTATGAGAAATCGTTATTCTAATTTGGAACTGCTTATACTTTTTTTCCCACAAATTTTGTGAGTTGTTATTCTTTTTCGTATATGTTAAAAGCATCTTCTTAATATTATGAAATAGTTTTTTGAGAATGTTGACTAACATGTGCAGGTAGAGTGGAAAATACCTCCGAAAGATGGTAATTGAATTTCTGAAGCAGCTTTGTTAGTGAACAGCTCTTATTTCTTCATATTTTCTTAGTGCATGTGATGTTATGTATTCATTTTTACTTTCATGTTCATTTTGTTGCTCATGTAGATTTGCTTGTGGATATGAATTGGATTCATTTATTTTTATTAGGCATTTTCCTTTCTTCCATTTTTCCATATTGTTTCTTGATATCCTTTTTTGCCAACAATGTCTTTAATATGTTTAGACAATGAGACACTTTTATTATTATTACTTCTTGCATGGTTTTAAATTTGGGTTTGCAACTATCCTTTTAATGTTATCGCAATTGAAGCCGCATAGGCCACATGTGCCTGCAGTTTTCTGCAATTGTAATAATCACATTGCAGCTGTGACTGTAACCGCAATTTAAAACCATGCTGCTATCATGTCTTGTTATAGTTAAAGGTCCTTGGTGGAATTGATCAACCCGTAGTCTTATTCTTTTTGGTTCACAGGTATTTGGAAGCCAACTGTGCCAAGATGGGAAAAGATGTTTTGCGCTTCAGTTGGCTCAGTTTCATGGGAAAATCTAGTAGAAGCCAAGAAGTACATTTATCTATATGACAATGTGATGAATTGGGATGATTCTGCTGTTAAAGAGGCATTTGACAATGCAAAAAAGAGGTTTTGGGCAAAAATCAATGGCCTTCCCTGCGACATATCTTTGCCTGATCCTGACATTTACATTGACGATATAGATTGGAATTCAAGTGTTGACCCTGAGCTTATTCTGGACTTGGAAAGAAATGCAACCACCCTCAGCGAGGAAGAAAAAGATAAGGAGGTTGTCATTCTTGATAGTTCTCTCCTTTTGAATCAGTCATTTTCCTGCAGTGGATGGGGGGAAGCTGAAGAAGACACACCAAAACCCATTGATTTAGTTTATGGTGCTCAAGTGAACCTGCATGAGAGTAACATGGTAGGTCCTTGGGAACAATATTGGACTCCTGATGCTGCTGCTGCTAAAACATGGGAATGGCAAAATAATTGGAATGATTCGTGGGGATGGAATCAGAGTCAGTACTATTGGAGTGACACCCAGAAAATGGGTAGAGGAGCTGGTTGGAATAGGGGAACATGGTATGGGTATACGAGAAAGGAAGAAAACATATCTTGGTATCAAGCCCCTGCATATCATCATGGTGATGAATATCGCATGAGCAGAGGAAGGAGAAATAATAGAGGAAGGGGGGGAAATTTTGCTCATGACCATCCTTGTGTGAACAATATACCTAAGGCAAGGTAAATGAAGAGCAGCAGCTGTAGATGCAAGAACTTAGATTACAAGAACTGCTATGGAACTTGGAGGGGATTAGATTTGTGAAGCTAGCTAGAAGATGTGAGTTTTGTTGTCTCCAGAACCTTTGAATATATGATATATAGTATAGTTATAAGAACTTAGAAGAAGAGACTATATTTTAAGTTTTATTTTCCTTTATTACAATGAGAGACTTTCATGGTCTGTGCTGTTTAAGAATTGTTTATAGTTAGTGTACATACTATATAAGAGAGGTTTATGCCTATAGATAAAATGTTTAATGACCTTTTTAAGCGTAGTTAAATGCTTCATTCCTGTGTACTAAAAAAAAAATAAAAAATTCTTCATTCTTCTCCTCTTATTGATCTCGGGTCGTTTTATGAATTGGATGTATTTAACTTCTTTTTTGTTTCCCTCTAGCACAAACTGGTATCTGCAAACTACATACCAAACTTATTTTAAAGGTAAAATAGTTATTGAGGTTGGCATATTGATTGAACAATAATGAATGATCAATAAAAATTGATTTCAAATGAAATATCTTGTAAATCAATAAAAGAATAATGAATATCTTACGCATGTCTTGGTTGGCTACACCTTTTTTTGTGTTTTTTTGTTGTTGTTATAATTCCATAATATCTTGCTATTGCTCCGTTATCATTGTGTTGTGCCTCTCTAGGTGTGTATGGTTAAATTATATGATCCAACATGTACTCACACATGTGATATTATAATCATGAAGATATTCAATGAAAAAAAATATTTTGCGCCTAAAGAAAAATCACTTAAGTATATTACTTAAAAAAAAAAAAATCACTTAAGCATCCTTCTAAGGGAAATTTCTAAAATACTACCGCTGTATTCAATTTTCTGTACAACCGTCCAATAGAAATTAAACACGCAAGCTCACATAGTAATATTTTAAAGAAAAAAACACGGTTTAAGTGTAGGTGTCTAATTCTCAGTGGTGGTAGTACCTAAGACCGACGTAGGAAAGATGTTCTCCCTTCTAAGAGAGAAACAATATTTATAGGTCAGAAACCAAAGAAAGGAGCCCCCCATGACAATTACGCGCCAAACTAGGTAGCAGATGGCATTCGCGCACATATTGCCTTTCTGCAAAGCAAAGAAATCCTTAAGAGATGTTTGGTTCTGGTGAAATTTTTATTTTACTAGGGAAATATAATTATTAGGGATCTAAACGGAAAGTGAGTTATATAGAAAATTTTTAAAAATGTTGTTTGGTTGGACAAAATAATACCGGGAGAATTGAGTGAAATTCCTGAATGTGTGTTTGGTTGAAAATAAAATATTGATGGAAGAATTTATTAAAAGTACAAAATAACCCTTTTAAAAATAACCCTTTATGGGATTGGTTTTAATGTTATCAAATACAGAATAATATCATTTAATATGATATTATACAAAACACAGTATAATATTAAAATTTCATTAAAACTTATAATATCGAACGTTATCTTTTAATTAATATGAAGAGGTTTAATTTTTTTTTTTCATTTTACATGTAATAACACGATTGCATGGTGCACAGGGAAAGCCATAGGGAAGCGAACAGGGAAACAGACCCCAGTGACCCCTCTTTCAAAACCCTAATCAGAAAAAATCTTCACTCTTCTCTGTTTTTCTTTCTTCTGCTTCGAAAACCGTAAACTTCAAGTGGTTGCTACGGTTACCAACAATGGGGGGAAAGAGGAAGAAGAGCGAGGGTTCAGGAAGCGATGATGTCGAAGAAGGTTCGATGAAGAAAGCAATAACGAATAAAAAGAACAAGGAAGAGTTGCTTCCTTCGATGATCAAAAACAAGGAGAAGAGATCAGAGGTTCATGCCAAGGCCAAGCGTCAGAAGAAGCTCGAGGGGTAATATAGTCACCGATTATACCACTTTTTGAAGTTCTCTATATTTCAGACAAATACCACCTTTCAGGAAGCAATCCTCAACAGTGCTTTTCAGACAAATCACTTGCAATTGTCGATAGATAGGCAACAAGGAAAGATGGGTAAAATTTATGAAAACCGTGAACCAAACGTGGAGTAATGACAATGCGGGAATCACTTCCCCAGGAAACTTTAACAAACTCCTAAAACAAACACTCCCTAAAGATCTATGACGCAATGAGATAGACACGGTCACGCCACGCGACATGCATATTAGACAATTATAAACAATCTCAACCATAAAAATTACCATAAATTTTAAATAAATAATTATAAAAACTGAAAATTAAATGGGAATCCTTGAATGTAAAAATGACACCCTCACACTAAATTATTCAATGGGGCTATGGTTAGATATGTTAGGATGATTGAGTGGTTTGTTAGTATTATGGTATGTTGCATTCATATAAAAATGTTGTATCATTGATGAAAGGATCAATGGACAAACACTAGTTGCTAGATTGTAATGTTGGTGAAAAGACTATATATAATTAAAGTGTATGTAATGATTTGATTGCTTATTCATTGGCCATTAGAACTGTATATGGACTTCCTTTGGGAATTTATTCTAAGAGGAAAAGGTCTTGGAAGTTCCATAAGGACAATAGCTTTGAGTACGACTCATTGGAGTGATCCCAGTGCATTAGGTGCATTGCTTAAATCATTGATATTATTGCTTCTAGATATATGATATATTTCATGTCATGTTTATACTAACCTTTCATGCAGGAAATGAACTCATGCATATCTCATCTCGTTTGGGGAATGACATTTCAGGTACTACATTAGCAACAGGAGAGCTCTCATAGGACAAGAGACTTGTATAGAGCTAGAGGCTCCTATGCTGGAGGGGGTTGATGAGGATGCATGTGTTTTAATGCTTATGTGTAATTATTTTGAATAGCATGATGTTAACCATCATTTTGAAGAAACTTGTAATAGTTTATAGTTCATGCTATATATATATATATATATATATATATATATATATATCTACGTAGGATGGATAGCACATTTTGTAAGCTTATGGTGTAGGGCTATGTGTATTTCATTTATGTTTTGGCATTGGGACTATGAGACATGTTGATGTAAAATTTGTTTATGTGTTGGATTGACAAATCCCGTGCTATTTGCATGAATGTTGATGAAAGTTCTGTAGTAGATGTAGATTATGGGCATGGAGCCTGTTCTGTCTAAGAGACAGAGATGTCCAGCCCAATGGACTGGTATGTTAATCTTGGATCTAGTGCCCTCTCCAAGGTATTTATTAAGGAGATGCCTTTGAGTTAAGCAGATCACTGTGCACAATAAACAAACAATGGCTTTGCCAAAGGGGGTGTGTGTGCGCACAGTGACAACATAACAGTAAGAGAGAGAACGTAACGTACTTTTAGGGTTTACCTCTTATTTATAGGGGTTACCTGCGGGTAGTATGATGTGGACCTTTAGTTCCTTTGTTGAGGGCCCAAACCTGTCTGCCATGCTATCATATTAGGATTAGTATCCTTGATGGATATCTATCCATGATTATGCTTGATTTAAATCTTGGATTGTCCCTGGTTGGACCTGTCATTCAATGGGCCCCTTATATGGGTCCATAACAGTTGCCCCTCAGCCAGGCTACCTGGGTGTCCTGGTTGCCGGGGTGAACTTTTTTGCATTTGGCTTCAGGTTTTCTGCTGAGCTGAGAGTGTCTGAGTTTTTTTGTAGGCTCTTTGCATCTTAGGATTTTCCAACCGGGGTCCTCATTGCCCCTTATCTCGGCGGGTTAAGCATTAACTAGGGAAGATATCTCACGCATTCCCTATACCGAGTTAGGGATGAGCTTGAGTAGTTGGGATCCAACTGGCGAGTTGCCCTCAAACATCAACCCTTACGCACATATTCTGGGCTTGTAGCTTTTTTCTAGAGCCGGGAATAACTTACCCTGATCTCACATATGGGCGGGTTATGCATTATCCCGACAAGATATTGCACACATGTAACCAGTTACCGAATGAACTTGAGTTGTTGGGATCCAACTGGAGAGTTGCCTTCAAGCATCATTCCTATAACCCGAATAAACATTGCTATGTATGCATATCTTGAGTTTTATGTGTCGACTTACTGTCGATAATCATTTCATTCTGACACGTGCCGTTTGCCGCATGTGTTAGCGTGCTGCAGCCATTTTGTTTCATTTTTGCATTTCGTGCGCATATATTGGGTATGTCATTTCATATATCTAATCATTACTTTTAGAGTGTAATGACTTCAATGCCCCTGACCTTTGCAATTCGTAACCGTTGTGGTTACCACTTATTAAGTATATAAACTTTCGTCTTTTCCTTTTCATTTTTACTTTGAGCATTCTGCAGAAATTCTTCTTCGCCTGAATTCTGCGAGCGTCAGCATTTGCAAGTTTATTTTTGCATATTCTTGCAAGTTCATCCTCCTCGTTCAGGTATTCTTCCTTTCCTCCAAATTTCCCTTATCTTCTTCTTTAACCGTCTACATTTGGCTGTTTATTCTTTGAATATACGCCATTTCTGTTTCAGATTTGTCGTTCTTCACATATCGTTTTTGGAAGATATTTTCCTAGATTTCACTTTCTTCTTGAAATGTCAGTATTTTGTGTTTGTGGAGTGTCTTTGCATGCTGTTTAAACTTCTGCATTTTAGCGTGCATCATCCTTCACTATCGTTTTCCCCTTTTGCATTTTGAATTTTAGTATCGTTTGGGTATTCACCAAAATGAGGGGAAAAAAACCTCCTTCTTCAGTTTTGCATTGTGAGGGAAAGAAGGAGGAGGATTCTGAATTCTTGAAGAAAGTTCCTCCTGGTGTCTGTTTCTGGCTATGGAGGATTCCCAAGACTAAAAAAGAAGAAGAACGTGAAGCCGTGCTTCATGGTTATCGTGGTGGCAGATCCAGGAGGAGATTCGGGTTGTCGAGTCGTGAATTAGGTCAGAGCTGGGGTAGTGGTTCTACCTTGCGGGGAAGGAACTGTCTTTCTGCAAGTAGACATGTTCCCAAATCTGATCTTGAACCTCTTAGTGGTTCATCTATAAGAAACACTGACATTTCTTCAGTCAACAGGGGTATTCTGCAATCTCCCCACGTCCAAAAAATTGGTCCTTGCTACTCCTGTGTCTTTCTGAGTTCCAAACTTATTGAACAAGAATGTGTCTCTTTAGCCGAGTTTACCTTGGCTAGCTGCCGACATGGAGATGTTCTGGGATACATATCAGCTTCTGGTGAAGCAGATGACCCCATCACACTCTCGAATAAGCTGACCTCCTCATCCTCTAGTGACTCTTCCTCTAATTGCTTTTTTGATTCACGTATGCCAATATGTCCTTCTGATCAAGTTCTTCTTCTTCTTCTTCTTCTTCTTAGGTATTTATGGCATTATCTC